ATTATATAACACGTTTCTTCGCGTTCCCGTAAGGAATCATAATCATCCGTAACGCCTAGTTTCTCACGATTTCAAGTACAACCGCAGTCCAACGTGTCGTTCTTCTGAATCGAGTGTAGCCCCAGTGTTGATTAGGCTAATTATAATTAACTTAATAATCTACAGATTAATTAGCTCTTTTTTGAGCTTTTTATTGGTGGATACCTTCCCAAGTCCACTTTCGCGTCTCATTCGCGGCGCGATCGCTTTACATTCTTAAACTCATGGCGTGATCTTAATCAAATCTTATCTTTAAAAAATATTTTTTTTAAGAGTCGTTGTGCGATATGTGATCACGTCGCGATCGCTATACACTCGCGATCTTGCGGCAAGAGTCTAAATTCTGCATTTATTCTTTTCTTTTTTTTTAAACCGTAAATTTTTATTCAAAAATACAACGAATCGAGGCATCACGCCATTATATGCTGTCAAAAATAGAAGTAAAACGTTTTTTAAGTCCCATTGCACGAGACCGGAGATGGACAAATTCGGATGCTTCTAAATCTAATGCAAGTCCAAGTTCATCAAAAGATTTTTCGAAGCTGAGCTTGGACTTATCTCTGATACGTATGTGTGACTATTTTCATCTGTTTTGTGTTAAGAATTCAGTGTAGTTTTTTCTTAGCGCGATTGCTATCATCGCTATTTCGCGACACGGCTCCAACTTCCGCGACTCATGTTGCGACAGTAACTGCGGCGATTACAGAACAATCTATCAGACGCACTACCAGTCACGGTTTCGCGGCTCGTGCCAAGGCTGAAAAACTGCTAAGGATCAAGATACAGTAAAGGAGTTTTCAAAATTCGCGATGCGACTCGCGCCACATAACTGCATGTTTTTGGTGAATATAGTTAGTAGCTTTTTTGAATTGCAAGAACGCAAAAGAATTCTTTTTCTGTTATTTCAAAGGGAGAATTTATATATTTCGCATATACAAATACAGTTCACATTCTGTTTTATTCTTGTATGTTTACAAGATACACCACCGTCCTTGCCTGAAGTTGTGCAAGCAATCAAACAGATAAAAGTCGAAAAGCACCGGGTAAGGATGATGTTACGGCTCAATTATTGAAAGCTGATGGTATAGCTTTGCTGCTACATCAAATCATAGTTGATGTTTGGGTAAACGAGGAGGTGGTGGAAGACTGAACAATGGCTGCACTGATTCGATTGTACAAAAATAAAGGGACAAACGACAACTATCGCGGTATCTCTTTATTAATTGTCGTGAGTAAAATATTCTCTCGAACTATTCTCAACCGAATATAAGGACTGCTCGAAAAAAAGATCAACAGGCAGGTTTTCGACCAAACAGATCAACAGTCGATCAGATTTTCATCTTAAAAATGGTCATGGAAAAATACGGGAATACAATAGATCGTTGCTATGTGCTTCATCGACATCCGAAAAGCCTATGATTCGGTTAAGGGTGATTCTGTTGAAAGCATACCGGAGTTTACATCAACCTTGTCCGAATTGTTCGAGAGTAACAGGACTAGTACAACTCGGGCTCTGATGACGAATATCACGCTTAAAAGATTTTAAAACAACGGCACGGTGGCCTTCTAGACCTGTGGAAATCCCATTTCCCAGCAGAACAGCCCTTTTGTGGGCATTTTCGCCATTTTCTAGTGAAACACTTTCATGAGCCGGTACCGTTAGATTAGATTCTATGTGTGCAGAGCTACAAAATCACCAGCGGATCTAATGTTCCAAAATGTAAAGCACGTTCTTAGGAAGATTTTTAAAAAAATCCTTTTTTCCGAAAGGTAGACCTCTTTTGTAAACCATTTTCCCCCCATAAAATCATATCAGCACAAGACAACAAGATATGCATTCGACGTGTCTTTTCAAGCTCTATTTGATGAAGTGGTTTGAATTGAGATTAGAAAACACTTAATGGTAGAAAAACGACAACTTTTGGAAGCGATTTTTTTGTGTGTAAAAATCAACGAGGTGTAAAAATTCATCGACGAACGTGTGATAAAAAAGTAGTTAAACAAACTCCAATATGTCAAGGATTGGTGTAAGAGACATGGGATTAGAGTAAAAATATTCACGAATTATTGAAAAAACGCTGAACTACGGTGATTTGGTAAAATGATGGGTATCTCCGAAATCCGATATATGTGTGGTATGGAGGTGGTACGCATATGATACACCTTATCATCGATGGTTTTACGACGAGTGAACATGAAAAAATCAGACCCGAAAACTTTTGCATTCTCTTAAACACAATCAAATTCAAGACTTCAGAAGCCCCTTTTTTATTTTCGCATTTTTCCTGATCTTCATCCTAAACCGATTTTGGGTATGGGTATGTTCTTCTTCTTCAATAGATCTCCCCATTTCTAATTAAATCTGATATGATTTTAATAAACATATCTGATGTAATAATCATTTTACATATTGAATCGATGAATGAAATGATTCATGAATTGAGACCATGAATAAAATGTTCGTAACAAGCTTTTCAACGTTGGTTGAAAGATCTTGGGTGTTTAGTAGCTCATTGTCGAAATGTGCATGTACAAAAAGAAAGCTTGTCTACAAAAAAGCTGGTAATCAGAAACTGCAGCTTGCTGTCGCGCGCTCACCAGTCGTCGAATTCAGTGAATACTAATCTATCTGATGGCTGGTGGGTGCAACTGTCGACTGTCTGTTGCGTCGTTGTCCATCCAGTTTGGTCCAATTAATTCTTTTAGGAATTCTTTCGTACACCATTCTTCTTTTCCCACATATTTGTCAAGGAACGATTGACCAGCTCCAATTCTGCATCTGTCAGATGACCATTCTGGTGTTACGACACTGACGATGAATGCAAATCCATTTTCCCCACGACGTAGTTTTAGCGCTTTGGAAGCAATTGTACCTGGCGTTGTGACAACTGGCACTTCCCCAGTGGTATAATCATGACCTAAGACTTTATGTTCGACGTGACCATCATCATCATAAAATAAGTAATAATCCACACTATCACCTTCCACTAATATGTGCAAATCATCTGCATCATCTATCGAATGTAAATAGTTATATGCTAAATGTGGTTCATTCGGGCTTAAACATGTTAACATGTAATAAATATGATTTTGTGCACGTAATGTTGAGTCTGCTGGACGAGATGGGAGCGATACTCGTAAAGAAGAACTACCTATGATTTGAAACAAACCACTTTCCAACGGTAATTCAATCAGGTTAAATTGTTCAATTATGCTATTCATACGAGTGACAGAATCATCACTGCAAGATGATGTTGCATCGTATTTGCGTATTTTGGACGCAAGATCGGGAACAGTAGATGCAGAGGACATCGAAACGAGAAGATATGAAAAAGAAAGCACGAAGTTGCAACGTGAAATACAAAAGAGTCGAATGGAAAAAGAAGAAGAAAGCTGTCGCAACCATCCGTGAGAATGTCCATCTGGCAGAATTATGTTAATCTTTCAAGGATTTTGTATTTCTAATCTGTTGCTTGTTTATTTAATTATGTTAGATTCGTGCAAATCAAATAGATGTATTAATGAAAACTTAAATCAACAGATTTTGCTCTAACTACCGTTTTTACTTTCTATATAAAGCATTTAGTCAGAAATCATCATATTTCCCTCGCTTCAAAAATATTATAAAATGAAAGCACCTGGTGAGTGAATAACTACTTTGATGTTGGTATGTTCAGTTTTTTTCCCTTCTGATGATAAAAAATATTTGAAATGTTCGATCTTATAGTGCTCTCATACAGAAAAAGTCATAATATTGTTCAATATACATGGGAATTTTATCTTATTAATAAAAATTAAGGTCGCCTCTAACGCGCCTGAAGTGTTTCAAAAATTCACCTCTTTTGAATAACAAATGCGGCATAAAGAACGGACCGTTTAGTATTTTCTAATTTTCTCGTATTTCTTTAGGACTCTAAGGTTTTTCAAAAGATGCGAAATTCTACACAGCCATACCTAAATTTGAATTTCAGAACTTCAACCAAGGAAACTACTCAAATTATTCGAAAGGCGAAAAAAGAAGCCTTTCTAAACTCAAAAACAATTTCCTGTGTTAACGATTTGAAAGTAGGAAAAATTGAATTAGCCATTTTGTAGCCCTGATTTCACTCTATCTTCTATCTACTCTTCATAGTTTTTCACATGAGAACACATGGAGAAATAATCATTTTTCTGTTGGTTGCCACGCATTTTTTCATTACCTTTTTGGATTCTGGATATAGTGGTGCTTTCAGTAAAAGTTCCATAACTTCTTCGAAACAAAAGAGTTTTCGATCGAGTTTGTTTTATTATGATCAGAAATAATTGCTCTTCGCTACCTAATTGCAAAATCAAAACTTTGATCACGTTTTCCGTTTCTTGCTCGGGCACATTGTTGAAAACAGGGTTTTCGCCTTTCGAATACTTTGAGTAGTTTCCTTGAATGAAGTTCTGAAATTCAAATGTAGGTATGGCTGTGTAGAATATTTCGCGATGCATCTTTTGAAAAATACCCTAACCTTAGGGTTCTAAAGAAATACGACAAAAATAGAAAATACTAAATAGTCTGTTCTTTATGCCGCATCCGTTAGTTTAAGTGTATGAGAAGTTTAAGCTGAACGAACATTGAAATTTCCCACTGTAAAAGCAGTTGGTAAAATCTGATCATCTGGACTCCCGGTCATTGTTAACGATTTCTTTTTAGCCTAGATAATTTGCAGTTATCTCACATTCAACAGAAGCAACAAACTGCTACTACTTTTTAAGTTCGACGATATTGTTCAATTTCTGTCCGAATTCGACTTCGACAGAGATTTCAGAATATGATTTCGAGAACGGCACACGTTCAATCATGTGCTTCGCATTTTCGTCTCGATACCTGTTTCTTTTTCTGTTAAACAATGAGGTTCCTTCTCGATGTTGCATTGTGCTCGCCATACTCGTTCGTTGTCCTCCTTTAGCCGTCTCCGTTTAGTCTACTCGCTATTCTGTCCATCTAGTCTTCTAAAAGTATTTTTCAAGCATCTGAGTATTTTGGCACGACTAATTTTCAAAAAAACTTATTTTCAGTCGTCAATCGGTTATGACCGGATCTTACGAAGGGGAGGATGGAGGAATCCGTCATGACATTCCATCCCGTGTTCCTTGCCGATGTCTAATTCTGAAAATAACATCTCGACCAGTAGAGATTCCGTCACATATTCTGCCTCGGAACCGTCAAGACACTGCTTCTGTTTCGCTCGTCGTTCAACTATCACCATACACCGCTCCTGCTAATTCTCCTCTTGTTCCAGCAGCGTTCATCGTTCTCTTTGTGGATGTGAAAAAATGCCAAGCATGATTTGTCAGATATTTGTTTTTTGCTTTTCACAAAAAAACTCACGGTCAAGTTTAATGTCTTTTTTTCTTCTGCAGACGGGCCTCAACGTGTCCTTAGCGATTTTGTGTTTATTCCAAATTATTTTTCACCCGAAGTTCCAAGGTGCAACCATATGAAAGCAGTCAATGGAACAGCGAGTTTTCCATATCTTCCGTATTATATTTCTCGGATGTGTTATTGTAGAATGCATCAATTCGACTATTCTTTAACAAGTTAAACAACACAGAAGTGGCAGTACTTACTCGAGAATGGGCGTAAGTGATAAAATCTCCTACTTCTTTCAACGGGCAACTTAGTCTTCTAAAAACATGATAGACGACACTATGCGCTCCGACATTTTCCCCGTGATCAACACGTTCAAGACGAACTTGATATCCTGCACTTTTTGAAAGATTGCTACGATGCCATTATGGTCGGTTTCAACAATGACCTACGGCTGAAGCTGTACGGCTGAGTATCTATACGACACTCTACTATTTCTGGATTATAGATGAAGAGGACAGATAATTCAGATAGATAGTAAGTGTCAGAAGAAGTAAATCGCTCGTTTCGATCACCTCAAGATCGAGACTTTTATTGACGCCAAGAGAGGCTGCAGAGTTTTGAGATTTTAAATGATGCATAGAGTTTATTACTTGGGTAGTAAATGTGCTCGGACTAGCTTAAAAGGGTAGTTTTTCATTTCGAGAGCAGTAGTACTCGTCCTTATGTACTCACCTATTGTAGTCTGCTTAGAAACGAATCTGATGGCCGACAATTGGATTATTTCTGTCTTTGTGCTACCATTTGGCACTTGTGTGCTTCAATGTCAAAGAGAAAATGATACATTTTAAAAATAAAACATACAAATCAGCTTTCATCTACTATAGATAAAACTTCTGCCATTTGTATATTCCTAACCTTACTGTTTTTTTTATTAAAGAAGCATCTGTGTATGATTTTCTGTTCTAAATTTTTCTTGGATAAGCAATTAAACATGTTGAATCCGCAAAAAAAAAGATTAAGATTTATTTATAGATCATGCAAAAAAAAATATATGGTCTGAAAACAACATAATTCAAGGAGAAAACAAAAATGTAAGTGTGTACACAAATACTAGGATGAAAAAACAAAAAAAAATAATTGACTCTATCCTCTTTGTGAACGAAAACAAAATATCAGAAAATATAATATGAGTAGTGAACACATTCGGCAACATAACTAAATAACAAAAATGATTGAATGAATAAATAATTTAGAATATAAAAAGCCAATCAAAAACTACTCACTTGCTAATTAGTTTCTCGAAATACCTGCTAAACAGATCAACAACCAAGAACAAACATTCGAAGTTGTAGAGACCTTTAAATAACTACAAATTTATTATGCATCTCTTAATCGCGATTTGTAACAGGTTAGCGAAAACAGACGGCTTATGACTAGTTATGGTTTTGATATGCAAGACAACAAAAAATTATTATTATCAAAAAAATCAAATAGAAAAATTTAGATAGGGAAAAGGTAGCTTGCGTATTTTTCTCAATTATACACAGGAAGAAGAACAATGAATGTACAATAAAATTAAAAAAAAACGAGATTTTCTTTAAAAATGTATCTTATAAAGACTAATTCATTTTAGACTAGAAATAAATGACTACATACGAATGGTATATATCTGATTTACTCAGTAATATTTATGTTTATATGATAGATAGGCTTTGAGATTTTCTGGTAAAAATAAATATTGAACATGTTTCTGATCAACATATCGTAGAATATTTCTTCGTGTTATCTCTTTCAATGTTACACACGTATAAGGAAGTGAATATAATTCAATAATACGAACGTTAATTGATGGTTCAATATTTTTTAATACAGCCAATGTGGAACCACAATTTGATAATGATGGATAAATATTAAATAAGAGTGAAAATTCATTGGTAAACACATACGATGAAAGAAATGGTCCTCGATAATCAATAATACTTCGTGTATGTAATAGTGTTGAAGAATTTAAAATATATAAAAAATAATTACGTTTAACACGTTGAAATATTGGCAATGTACATAAAACAATAATCAAATAACCATCATTGGTATACTCTACTCGATAAACTTTTGTTTTTAATGTATGATTTGAACAGACAATAACACGATCTTGTTTTATATCCGTTATTTGTCCACGAACAGTATCAAATTCAGCTAAACGAGAGTGACCGTATCGTGGATCAAATGCAAAACGTTGATCATAACCTTAAAAAAATACAAAAATGGAATTATTATTTAAAGGATGATATTGACTTCTACGTACGTGCTGGTGTAATTCTCAAAATTGTAAAATATTTCACATTTAGTATGATTGTAACATCACTGTGTGTTTGATGACTGTAAGAATGTTTGTCTTCGTAATCTGGTGTTATTAATAAGTGTGAACGATCAGGTGACATTAAACATGTATACGAACGAGCATTGAAACGATGTTGTAATGAATTTACTTTTCGAACGATACGATTATTTAGTGTAGTGGTGATGTTTGTCGGAGATGGTTGACGTGTAGAAACATCTGACCATGATGTACATGTAGAGGATGCATGGTGTGGACATGTTAATGATGTTAAATAAGATGTAGAACGATGACTTTGTAAGGAAACATTGGATGGTTTTGTTAATACCGTTAATACTTCATTGGTATTTGATAATGAATATGAACGAGTATTATTTGATGAAGAATTCCTAAAATGTTAAAAGTCATTTTAATCGTCAAGTTTTATGAAAACAACCAAATACACTCGTTATTTACACAGGATTCTTTATATACACAAATTAAATCTAGACTAATAATTTAAACAAATTCATCATACCTGTTATTATTTGTCGTATTTGATAATGAGATTAATTTACGAGGACATGAACTGAATCGTAATAGACTATGTGGTGAAAAACGGGAATTATTTTGTGTTATTGTTGGAGTTGATCGTTGAAAATTTGAAGTTATCGAACAGTTATGACTAGATGAACCCGATGCAAGAGTACATCGAGCTGAACCGGTTAAAAATGAAGCTTTTTTTGTATTATCAGCAATATAAAATTGTTTATCAATATCCGTCGTTCGGTTTGCGATATCGTCAAAATCATCTGTTGTACTGCTATAAGTACCATTTAACATTGAAAATGATTTGAATGATAAACTTCGCGCATCCGTATTATGAATATGATAAGCACTCAATGATGCTGATTCCATTAATGCACTGTGTCTATTTATCGGAGTGGTAACAGAAACAATAGTCTCTTTTTTGGGTTCAGGTAAACGAATTGGTGGTGATCGGCAACGATTATTATTCTGATTACATGTACATTTTAGTTCTTTTTTTGCTATAGATTCAATGGAATAATCGAATATAAATATTTCAACTTCATTGTTGCCTTTCCACAGTTGAAATACAATAAATTCATCACAGCAACCAATCACGCGATTTAAGCGTAATATACGATCTCGAATAGCATTGTCATTCGTTCGATAACGTTCAATATTTGATGGTATTGTTAAAATAATATCATCTTGGCCATATTCACTCAGAATAAACTGCGAATCACCAAGTCGGGTTAATGTTTTGAAAAATCGTCCATTTATGTAGTAAATTGGCTTTTGTAATTGTTCTTTTTCAACGAGGGACGCTGCTGAGCACGATATTCCATTGATGGAATTGGATAATTGCGAAGCGGACAGAGATGATCCGACTGGCACACCAGACAATTGTGAGTCTCGATCATTATTTGAAAAACGATTTCTTGGATTAGTAGATTTTGAAAAAGTATTATCAGTCGTTAGTAACGATGATGTTGGAGTTGAAGATGAAGAAACAAAGGACGAAGAAAGAGAACTCGAGGATAAGTTTGATGGTGTCGGCGTGTTAACATTTTGATCGTCGGTGTTGGTCGAAAATGGATTGAATTGTTTGAAATGTCCCCATCGTTTGGCTTCGGAATATAACCAGCGCTCATAAGGTATCACCGTAATTTTACGAGACTGGGAGCAAGTTTGGACACCGGGTTGTTTTTTATAGATGATACCATTGCCCATTTTTAAGAGACACAAGGAATAAGCGTCTAAAAATAAATAGAAAATGCTCTTATCTAGCACCACTTTCTTTGGTGGAAAAAAAAGACTCTAATAATCGTCTACGTGGTAGCATCGATCTTTCCTAAGTGAACCAAAGGTTTTTTTTTAATCATAGTCACAATTGTACCTAATTTGGTTCGAACATAAGGTACTAGATGACTTTTATGTCAGCAAAACGGATTAAAACACGAGAAATAAGTTCATTATTTTATTATTAAATTGAACATTGAAAGTCATTTTAAGAAAAGAAGAAAAAAATACACGCACAGCACACTCAAGAGGAAAAAAAGTGAACAACAATAATAAGAATAAAATACATCGACAAACAAATTATACACAACTCTCTTTCTATATATATATATATATAGAAAGTGAGAAAAAGAGAAGAAAAAAATATCATTCTAGTGGAGACAAAACAAAACGCACAACAAGCCAAGGCACATCTGTAGTTGAATATATAAATATGGTGAATGAAAACTGAATACTATTAAGAACAAATTCTAGTCAATGTGAAAAACCTATATACAAATTTGTAGACGAAACATCACATTTCGTCGTGCCGGCAAGAGTATATTTGGGTTGAAAAATGTCAAAACTAACTACTATAAATAGAAAAGAAAAAAAACAAGAACAGAAGTGCAGTTAGACCATCACACTCTATAAAAACAAAACGAGCCCGAACGCTTCAAATATACCATTAATAGATTAACAATCTAACACACACAACGCGTACGCAAAATATAAATATGTCTTTAATAAAAAACAAATAACGACGCTTAAACACTCATACAAAGTGTCGAGACTAGAGCAATTCTTTTAAAAAACAAAAACAAAATGTCGTTTTACAATAATGAAAATGAGAGAAAGGAAAAGAAATGGCTGATTGCGCACACACGACAACAAAAACTAAGAAACATTGATAAAAATAAACAGCAGTAGAGTTGCATTAGTGTAGGGATAGGTATGTGTCAAATGTCAAACAACGCACAAAACAAAAGAAAATCAGATCGATAAAAAAACGAAAAACTTGATTTTGTGTCCAGGTTAAAAACAAAACAACAGAAGGAATTAATAGACAGAGAAAAATTATGAACGATTACTGTTGATGGAGAAATATAGGAAAAATATTTTGCTTAGAGAATAAAATGCCATTGCATTACGAAACAAACTTTCCACTAAACTAAGCTATCAGCAAAAAAGATCGTGATTCAAACCTAACATGAGCATAACCTGAGATGTGATTGTAATCATATAGAAAAATGAGTATCATATCATCATCTTTACACCAGGAAAAAAAAACACGCTGTGATTAATATTTAAAAAAAAGAAAACACAAAGAAAAACAGATAAATTCGTTCCCATATCACAATACGCAAAATGATAATAAAAACAAAGAAAAAGTAGAAAAAAAAGTTAAGGACGAGCAGCAGACAATATCGTTGTTGTTGTGGTTGTTGTGCCAGAAATTGATGAATTGTTTGTTAATAAATGACTGACACTTGGTAGCAATAATGAATTAGCTGTTGTTGACGTAATATTTTTTGATGAAGAAATAAAATCGAACGTATCGTGTAGTTTTATTCTATCATCAAATAATGATGGTAAAAGAGTTTTAGATGATGTTGATATATCACCTAGTAATGGTTCAAAATCAAAATTAACATCATCAAATGTTGTATCGAAATCATCGTTTAATAATAAATTATTTAAATTATTATCGTTTATTTGCCAAGATGAATTATTTAAACTAAAATCGAATGAATTAAAATCGACCATAGTCGAAGATGGTGGAATCAACACTTGCGTTTGCCAATTATCTTGATTATTTGTTTCAACTGGTAGAGATGGTGCTGTTGTTATTGGATTTCCGTTCAACGATGATGTGACCATCACTGTTTGATTTGTTTTTAATTTTAATTTTTTATTTTCAGTTGCTGTCGGTCGACGTGATTTTGCATTCGTAACTTTAACCGGACTATTCTTATTCGTTGTACGTACCGATTTTAATAGATTATGTCCACAGTCATCTTCATTCAATGGATTATCGATATTTCCATTCTCAAGACGATTTATTGTATTGATTAAATTATCGACACCAAGTGGTGATGAGTTTAAACCTTTGAGTAATGTTCGAAGAGTTTTGGGTTCCACAGGACCGTTCAACAGATAACAATTACCACTGTCATCAGTATTTGATTCTTTGACCGTTCTATTTGATGCGGAAGAAGGATTACAATTGTTTTTGTCTGACATTGACAAATCTTTGAAAAAAAAAATTAATAATAATTTCATAAGAAACGAGTCTGAATGATAAAGTGCGACAACTATTTCTTTGCTAATCTTATCTGTAACAACAACCTCGTTTAATACTTTATGGAGTTTTTTATGTAAAGTTCTGACGAACGGATTTCGATGGAACGTAGGATGTTTATATACTCGAAATAAAGCTTTCCGACACGTTCTCTGATGTGGCACCGATCCATCTCTTGCTTTAGACATTAAACACTGTCTAAAGAACTATCATGCTGCACGATCATAGATCTACACTAATAAGTTTATCTTACCTGATCGCGGCTGTAGCATGTCATTATCGTCTGCCATAGTCGATTGTGTTAACAGTGTTGATGGTGTATCCAGTGACAAACGTTGCTGTTGTTCATGATTAACTTGTTGAATGACATACGGTTTATTATTTATAAGAAATATTTGTTGTGTTTGATCATCATTTAAAACGTTCTTTGTTAAAGAGTTTTCTTCGAATACATTTTTCTTACAATACTGAGTATTTGTTGTACAATTATCCGTTAGTAAATTTGTCGGTACATTAAATATCATTGTGTCGACTGCTGAATTATTTTTCATTGTAGTTGTCGATTTTTTCGTATTTGTTGTTGTTTTTCTTACTTTACCTGTTCTCGTCGATGATTTGACAACATTTTTTATTGACGAATCAAGCGATGTCTGATCTAATTTTGATAATTGTACTTGCTGTGCTGCCGGTTGATTACCTAACGTTCGATTATTTGAATTTTGCGCTTTATTAAATAAATGATTAACAATGCGATTTGAATCAATCGATGTACCAGACGCCATTGCTGATAAAAGAAAATCGGTTATCGATGGATCAAAATCGACTGTAAACGAATTAGATTGTTGTTGCGGTTGTTCGACAGTGTATTGCTGATGATGTAATGAATTATCAAAATTTTGTTCGTCATTTGTTGTCGATATTGGATCCATATTACCACCACTAACGATATTTTTACAATTTATTATTGTTGACGATGATGAATTACCTAAAAGGATATGATTTGTTGCACCTGTCAATGATATTGCATCAATGTGATTTGTTAAAGGTTTCTGGGCTGGATAACGAATAAAATCGGGTTTAAGTGCATTCATATTAAGTGTCACTTGTTTATTTGATGCGACTGTATTGATTGACATTGAATTATTTGTTGGTGAGTTCGCTGTTGTGGTTATAGAATCACGGCGTACACATTTGTCAGGAGGAGAGAAAAGAACATTTTGAACGCCGGATAACACAGCATATGTCGATTCATTTGTTGTTGATGATTTAACCGAATCGAAAAGTGACGGGAGACGTGTGATAAAATTTGTATCGTTTAAAACAACTGATGGTGGCGTTAGACTAATGTCATTTAAATAACGAATCGTTTGGTTTGTTGATGAACACGTGGTTGTCGACGGAGATGTACTGTTACGATGTAAACCTGTTTGAGACGATGAAACAGAGGCTGGTGGAGATAAGATCGATGACGGTATTGCCGCATTTTGTATTATCGATGTTGTTGAGGTTGGAATAGCAATGGCAGGTGGTAATTCATGACTCGAATCAACGTCTGATAGAGAAGGATACTGTTGAACATGTTGTTTAAACGATGAAGACACAGTTGAAAGTTTGCCTGTTTGGTTACAGACAACATCAGATGACTTTGCCATTTTACGTGGCCTACCTCGAGGACGTTTAGTTGGCAAGCCAGAAAATGTCTGGGTACCATTCCACGAAAGCGCATGTTCTAAAGAAATCAATCAGTAGTAACAATCATTTTTCTCTCTACCATAAAGGCTGCAATGGCATTCCTCTCATCCAGGGTGGCAAAGTTCGACAAGAGATTAGACTTTCTTCAGATAGCTGTTGACAGAATTACAGTCCCTCTTCGACGTTCTTATTCTCAATCGAAATTTTAATCAACCGTATGAAATTATCATGAGGTCGTAGGGCTATATCTCTAACTACCGAATAAAATTATGCAAGCCATCATTTCTACTGGAATTCGCTGTATTTTTGGTCTTCATTAGCAAATTTTAATACTTTTTCTACAGAGGAAATTCAGAGAGAAAGAAATTTATTATGCTGCACCCGACGCCTAATTCCATCTTAGTGCATGATAAATTTAAAGTATTTTTTAATAATCATATTGCTTTACAAGGAGAAGAGTAGACGCGTAAAGTGGAATACACACCATCGATGAACCGTTGCAATTGTAACTCACTATTGTTTGTTGATGATAATACCGGTATTGCTGTATTGGATGCTAATGGAGATAGAGAGGACGATGATGAAGATGAATCATGATTGCTTTGTAATGCACATGTTTGAATAGTTGATGTCGTATTAATAGCAAATGGTTTCGATTCAGCCGTTGATGAACAAACAAAAACATTACCAGTATTGAGTTCAGAATGTGGTCGCTTTCGACGCTTAACTGCAAAGAAAAGACAAAAGATAAGTTAACAAACAAGAATTCAAAACTTTTTCTTCACTCACTCGTCTTTTGTTCAAGTTCGCCAAATGAATCGATACAATTTGTTAACGTGGCCATTTCGAGAATATTCGATTTTTGTCTACAGTGGGTACCTTCAAGTACCTGAGTGACTTCCCATGATTTTGATTGAACAGTTGGCTTAAAATTGAATACCTAATAAAGAGAAAACGAAGATTAGAAAACATACACTATTTTGTCTTCACTTGATTACATACTTTTTCTACTACAAGAGGACATTGTAAACCACATTTACACGTTGACGGTGTTTCAAGATAACGCCGAACAGATTCGTATGAATCAAGTACTGTATTTGTTGGACTAAAAAAATGTAGTTACATCATAGATTATCTTAAAGTATGTGTAAAGAATAACTTACCTTAAATAAATAACTAAATCAGAAGCGACAACACGACGCCATCCATAAGGTACATGTATGAAATCTACTTGTGTATTTGTCAAGATAGAATTTTTAGTATTCTTCTGACCGGTAGGTGCTGTTGTTGTTGAATTTGTTCGACTTTTAACAATAGTTGGACAACTCAATTTCGGTGATGGCAAAGTTGAAAATGGAACTTGTTCCGTATATAACTCATTTTCGCCTTTAATAATAACGCGTTTGAAACCATTAGAATCATTCATTGTTATATCATTTAAATTTGTTGTTGTTTCTGGAGCTTGTTGTTGCTTTTTTGATCTTGAACGCTTTTTAGTATTAGTAGTCATTTGTTGTGGTTGTTGATTTGTTATAGGAGAAGGAAAAAAGATTGATGAGGAGGTTTGTGAAATATCATTTGACGGGACTGCTTTAACAGAACTGTCGTTCGCTGGTGTTTTCATATCAACTATCGGTTGAACGCGGATAACAGAGTTCAAATGATGAGCAATATTCTGTTGAGGCCATTTTGCCGATGAAGAATCACTATTACTAGTCATTGCTGTATTATTATTATTATTAGTAGTAGTAGTAGTAGTAGTAGTAGTAGTATTATTGTTATTATTATCACTATACGAAGAAAGTGAACTACTGCTATTAGTCGAAAAATTGAAATTGACACTGTCTAAATAACAGAAAAATATTGTGAGAAAAAATTAAGTTGAGATATTCACTCGATAAGCAAAAAGATTAATCTATGTTGTTTTAGTTTGGATGAGAAACAGGAATTAACAATAGATAGTCCATCGCTCAAAGAGAATCTTCTCAAATTATTGCCTCTCTACGTTTAGTATTTGCCTGGAAATCTAGATTAAAAATGCGGGATTGTATAATGTACTTACTTGTTGCACACTGCTTTTGTATATTTGTTGCTGTATCAACATCGATATTGCTAATATTAATGTTGTAATTTGTTGTTGTCAATGATGATGAATCAGTTAAATTAATTGACTGATGCTGAGTAGTACCACCGACTCCACTTTCCAGTTGATGTTGTTGTGATCGACTTTCTTCACGACGTTTTGTTTCTTCTTTAATATTTTTCAATAATTGTGAAACAATTTCGGTCGTTTGTTTTTCGTCAAATTGTGAAATTTGTGCATGCTGATAACGCTGTTTACGATTCATGTTTGTGTTACAACGTGTATTCGTATTATTTATATTTGAATTATTATTTTGATTTTGATTATATGATGGCACTGGTTGTAAATTGGTCGTATGTATATTGACGTTAATATTATTTACATTTATATTATTTGCTGTTATATTGCTCAAATTTGTTGTATTTTGAATAGTACTCGAGGATTCGATCAGCGTTGTTGTCGTAGTGGTTGATGTTGGTTGTGTGTTTTGCTCAGATGGTTTTGATGAAGGAGAGGATTCGGGAATATTTTTCTTCGTTGGTGATGATAAATTAGTTGCACTAGATTTGAGGGCAGCAGTAACAAATGGTGTGTTTAATGCAACACTTGGAGTTAATTGACCGTATGATGTTGGCAAGCGCGTAACATTGACTAGATTAATACCATTTGTAGCTGTTTTTATCGTATTTTGTGGATTACGTACAATATTCGGGCTCATCGATGGCGAAGTAGAATTAGCAGAAATAACTAATGCTTTTGACGGTGATGATGAGTATTTCACAATATGTATTGGTGAACCAACAGTCGCCGTGGATGTTGTCAATTTCTTTTCTTCACTATTCAGGTTTCGATTTGGGGATACTAAAAAACATGGCAATGATGATTTGGGTGTGGACGGACGTGATAAATAAAGAGCTGGTGCCGAAGATGGGCGTTGATCGATAATTGGTGAGATGGATAATGATGATGATGATGATGAAAGACTAGATTGATGAGATGAATGTTGAAGAGAAGCAGTAGCAGTATTATCGTTCACTTCCATGGGTGAAGCAAAATTTTGACTAGATTGTTCAGCTAACGCTAAAATTTGAATAGGTTGCTCACTAATGATAGGCGACGGAAAGTTTAACAATAGCTGATCATTGTCAGTTTTTACGGGAGACTTAATTATGGTTTCATCGTCGTTCTCGTTATTATTATTCAACTCGTTTTCAGATGTTGATGACGAAAAATCACCATCATCTATCTGACTCAACGATGGCATAAGTGTCTGTTCCGTTATGAATCGAACAAGATTTGTAGGCGACGAAGCTAATGGCACTGGATACGATGATTCTTGACTTGATGGATACGTAATGTTTTGACTAGATGATGAAAGTTCGATTTTAACCTCTGTTGTTTCATCAATTTTATTTGCGTTCGCTATTGAATCAGATCCATGGTCATCCTTCTCGATATCAGTTGTTAACGATACGTGTGTATTAACATTTTTAGGATTACTCGTCGATGGAAAGTATTTTTTTGGTGGTGACGACGAGTCATTATTCAAAACTTGAAGCATATCATGACAATCGTTTGTTGAATAAGACGATATAAAGTTACTGTGTAAATCGGTCATCATTGAGTTGTCTGCTAACGTTATTAGCTGAAATATTCTTCATGGCTTTTGTAACTAATAAAGTAGCATTATCCATAACACAGAAAAATCATAAAATGATAATAAAAAAGATTTGATTAAAAAATCTACAAAATAGAAAAAATAAATTTTACCATACTAAGAAAAGTCCTCAAATTTTGTCCGTTTGAACTGCGTGAAAACACTGATATAAAACATTTTTCTACAATAATGAGTGAATGTACACTTCTGTCTCTGCAAGCTAAATACACGCTCACTAAAACAGCACAGATTTAAGAAAATTATCGGTAAAGTCGGTTTTATGGACTACAAAGCTTCTTTATTTTTATTTCTCCAAAATTAAATCTAGAATACTTTTGCCTGGTCATAAAAGCTTTGAAATTAAATAACTCATTAGTTCCATATTCAACTTTAGAGCTATATCCTTCTGAATCTTGTCGTCAAGAGATGCTTCAACAAGTTTTGGTTACTGTGTAACAGAAAATAAATAAATATGCCAAAAAATATCAGTTTGTCTTCGTAAAACCAAAAATAAATAAAACAATGTGCAGCAGTAGCCATCTTTACATATTTAGGGATAATTACTCCATGTTTGAGGCTTCTATGGCGCGGGATAAATCAGGTATGCAGTTCACTGCAGACTTTCGCTAAGTCAATAATCATCAGTAAATTATTTTACTGATAAATACGGTAATCAATCGATTTACTGAAGCTGATTTAGAAAAGAGAAAAACGACTTCAGACAGGCTCGGATGTATACACATAGCGACACCTTTGGGTTGCAGAAGAACAGCTATAAATAAAGGTTGGTGTCTGAGGTGATTTACGAAATGTAAAATGGCGGTTTGGTGAGTTAAAAAGGGTTAATTTTGTTTTGGAATTTCTTCACACTTGGACTATTAGCTGTTACTGTCTACACTAGATATATTTAGAGAATATAAACGCTGACAAACAAGATAGTAAATTACTAACAAGCAGGACCGTTCGATGTCGATTAGGTTGCGATTTTGAAAACTTAGTTATTTTAAAAGCGATGCAACAAATAAATCGATCTAATCTTATCCAAGAGCCATTACATATTATGAGCAGCAGATGATCAACCGAGCGTTGTAGAACAAAAAATCGATTCGGCTCCTTTGTTTGACCATTTTCATAAATTCTGGTGCAAACCGTGCTTCTAGCTGCAATTTGAGTAATATACGTGGATTTTATGAAAAGCACTCCGAGACGAAAAAGAGGGAAAAACGATCAACTTAACAATTCATAACTCGATAAGAACGTAATATGGATTTAAAAATGTAGAATTCTTATTCTTCAACTACATTGTCATACGATGAGTTTTTCTCCCTCTTAACAACAAAAATACCCAATAGATTTCTTATGAAACCAGAAGATCTGGTTTCATATGAAAAAGATAGTATTAATTTTTTTTTAAATCGTTAACTTCGATAATTAGAGAAATGTATGACGTTCCAGGTATGTCTTTGAATTTGACAACGAGCTTAATGTTTAAGAATATATGGCAGATTTAGATTATTTATATGCAACTGAACTTAATAGTGATGCTGCACCCTTGGTAACTGACTTACATGACTATTGACTGTATACGCCATGGTACTTTACTATACAAACGTACCACTTCGACACAATATGGTGACATTCATCAATGTCATATGTTTACCATCTTTACCGTTTATACAATCATTATATATTTCGTGCTAGTGAGGGAATGCACTTTGCGCTAAACACGTGTATTGTATCTCATTTGTAACACCAAGAGTGAGAAATACATTTTACCAGTGAATCCGTTATAAGTAATGTCAAAAAAAATTTATAACAAATTAAATATATATTGATAGAATGGGTCACACTCGCAGCGATCTGACTTAATATTTTTTTATTCAGTCTCAGAAGAAAACATACTCTAAACAAAATTCGAAGTTTTAAAAATCCGTACGTTTTTGGAACACTAACATGAAATGAACTTTCATTATTTGTTATAAGAACTATACTGTGGAAAACGAGGTGCATTTGTAAAAAAATGCACTTCAGACGCTTCAAACGCAACCTCATTTTTGATCAGTAAGAAAATATTTTCATGTAAAAGCTGCGTCACGATGCCCTAAGAAGGCGGCTGGATTCGAGTTGTAGGCATCCATGCTGTCTTCGTGCGACATCGTGGCTGCTTAGTCAAGTCCCCCATGTAAATCAGATGCATTTTGCATGCATAAAGTAAGGCATTGAGGATGCATTAAATACGCCCGGACGCCTTATAAAAGCGAACTGTGACTAAAAACATGCAAAAACGGGATGAATGAGTCTATCTAAAATGAACACACAGGGTAGAAAGAATGTTAGTTTTTCTTCTTCAATGCAGACAGGTTGGAAAAGTCAATTGTTTGTTAGTTATGGGACTTTTAACTTCCAGATATATCTTAGTATATGTACGGGGACAGCAAATGGACAAACTATCGTTTTTCAGTTCTATATAAATTTGATTAATTTATGTATTTGATCTGAACGAATTTAACATAATTAAACAAACAGCAACAGATTAAAAATAAGACACATGCTAAACTGAGAAGAATAAGCTAAGGGAAAATATTCAAAGAGACGATACAAAATGCCTACTGGAGCAGAGATAAAAGAGTCTAAGCAGACTTTCTTCTACAGTAAGAGATAGATGTTGCTAAAAACCACCAAATTTTGATAACACGGAACAAATCATCTGCGAATAATGAAACTTACAGAATATAGATAATCTACCATGGAGGACTGATACGCAATAGTTTTAGATCCCTACGAACCCATGGTTTTCAGAAAACGTTTTTATGCCATTATAAGTTACTTAGATCAGGAACCGATCAAAACAGACGAGTGTTACCTTGTAAGTTTGTAGCAAACAAATCTGGTATATTCTATTCACTCAAAACTGCCATTATCGTCTGTTCGAGAGTAATAACAGAAGAAACAATACCGACAGGGTACTTTTTCTCTGTATTTCTTTTGCTAGAGATGTTTTGACTAGGCACCAGGATGACTCGATGTCTAGCAAAGAGTCTCGACGCATTTCGATGTGTTAAATGTGACTACGTGATTTATCTGTGGTTTATGGGTGATTAAGAGTCTCGACCGTAGCTACTGCATTGTGTTTTTTTGATGTATTATTCAACATAAAAGTTTAGAAATAAAACCCATATAGTCAAAATCGGTAATAAATCGACGATTTTACTGATTTATAGCAATTCATCGCCGAGCTTTTAGTGTAACAGTTAACTGCGCTTCTCGATTACTTTCCTTAAAACAACTATTAATTCGTCGAAAAGCTGATTATTTTTCAATATGACTGGAAAATTATGAACGATCATAAAGTTCATGCTGAGAGGCATTTCCTACAGCTAAAAGACCTCTTTTAAGTCCGATCTTAACGAAAATTTCAGAGAACATATATCATGATCGAGAAGCAGTTTTCAGCTCTGTACCATTTCCAAAATTCGAAAAAACAAGAGACAAAATAAACTCGGTACAAAAACGAATTTTACCGGGTACGAGAAAAGAAATGACTAAGCATAGAACAGAGTTCTGAGTAAATCAGTCTTAGCTTTTCGAATCAATGTCACACTGATCAGTACAACGTCTCATTTTGAAGAGAATACTTTACTCTACAAGTCGATGTAGTTTGTCAAACAAGATCGCCTGTACAGGGTGCGTAAAAATGTTTTTCCAGGGGGGTAACGCTATAATTGCGAATAGGGTAAGTAATGAATTTTATACCAGATGAAAGCCCGTCGAAAACGAGATTTATTGATACTAAATAGTAAGTTTTATCAAAGCATTTTAGTGTCGAACTTAAGAAAGTTTTAAAAATTGTACATTTTTTTGGGGTAGAAAGATAAGACGCCAGTCATTCCAATGCAGAAT